TTCTTTTCAATCAGTTCAGAAATGGTGGGATTTTGGTAAAGTGCAAATTAAACAGTATTGTCAGCAGTATGCTCATAACAGCACCAAAGTTTTAAATCAGTCAATGAAAGACTTAGAGAATGACATAATTAAGATACAGGAATTGGCGGATTTAACGAAACAAAAAAGTTATCTGAAGATTCTTTCTAAGAAAAGAAATCAATTGGCAGAATTATTAGGGGTTAAAACACAGGGGGCTTTGGTCCGGTCAAGATTTATAAGTCTTGATCAGATGGATGCACCTTCAAAGTATTTTTTTAACCTTGAAAGGAAAAACGGGCAAAAAAGAATCATTCACGCTTTGCGATCAGAAGAAGGAATTCTGTTGTCCAATCCTGTAGGGATCAGAAGTAGGGCAATTGGTTTTTATGAGACACTGTACAGAAGTGAAGTAGGATCAGATAATATTAGTAAAAGTGCTTTTTTTGAGGATTTACCAAAGGTGTCTGATGAAGGTAATGCAGAGATTTCAGGTGCGCTCAGCCTGGGAGAACTGCATAAGGCCGTTCAGAGCATGGAATCCGGAAGGGTGCCTGGAGTTGATGGCATACCCATAGACTTTTACAAATGTTTTTGGGAAGTTTTAGGAGAGGATCTCTTAGAAGTCCTCAATGGTAGTTTGGACGAAGGTCTTCTACCTTTGAGTTGCCGGAGAGCAATCCTGACCCTTCTTCCCAAGAAAGGAGATCTCACTGAGATCAAAAACTGGAGACCTGTTTCACTTCTGTGTAGTGACTATAAACTTCTTTCAAAGATTTTAGCCAACAGATTAACAAAAGTTATGAGTAAGGTGATCCATCCGGACCAAACTTACTGTGTTCCCAAAAGGTCAATTTTTGATAATATTTCCCTTATTAGGGATATTTATTATGTCTCTAAGTTGTCAAATAGTGACATTGGTTTGATTTCGCTTGACCAGGAGAAAGCGTTTGATAGGGTTGAGCATGCATATTTATGGGAAACATTAAAAGCATTTGGTTTTAGTAAGGGTTTTATTGATAAAATCAAAGTTTTGTATAGTGATGTTGAGAGCATACTCAAAATTAATGGTGGCTTGTGCACTCCTTTTAAAGTTTTTAGAGGGGTGAGGCAGGGATGCCCGCTCTCTGGAATGCTATATTCACTAGCAATAGAACCTCTGCTGCAGCAATTGAGGAAGAATGTACAAGGTTTTAAATTGCCCAATGTTGAAAGTATAACAGTCTCTGCGTACGCTGATGATGTAGTAGTGTTTGTTAGCCAACAGAGTGATGTAAAGGTTTTAATGCGTGTACTTGATGATTTTAAAAAACTGTCCTCTGCTAAAATTAACTTGGAAAAGAGTGAAGCAATTTTAATAGGGGATTGGAAAAATGTTCCGTTTGCCCTTCCTCCTGGCTTGGTTTGGAAGAGAGGAGGTTTTAAATATTTAGGGGTTTTTTTAGGAGATGAAGTGATTGTACAAAAAAATTGGGAAGGAACTCTTGAAAAAGTTAAAGGTAGACTTGAAAAATGGAAATGGTTAATCCCAAATATGTCATATAGAGGTCGAGCTTTAGTTATAAATAATTTAGTTGCTTCCTCTTTATGGCATAAGTTAACCTGTATTGATCCTCCTTTGCGTCTCTTAGCAGAGATTCAAGCAATTTTAGTTGATTTTTTCTGGGATAAGTTACATTGGGTTCCTCAGAGCATATTGTTTTTACCTAAAGAAGAAGGAGGGCAAGGATTGGTTCATATTCAAAGTAGAGCAGCAGCTTTTCGTTTACAGTTTTTACAAAGACTTCTTGATAATTCTGTAACCTCAAACTGGAAAGCAGTTGCATGTAAAATATTACAAAATGTGGGTAATTTGAAAATGGACAGGAATCTTTTTTTCATGGACTTGTCAAAGGTGAACCTTAATGGGATGCCTATTTTTTATCGTAATGTTTTTAAAGTGTGGAAAATGTTCAGAGTGCAAAGAGAAGGACATTTTGAATCTCTTTACTGGCTCCTTAAAGAACCGTTAATATATGGAGCACGGTTCGATTTAAAACACAATGACTGTTCAATTCCTGGACTTACAGAAACACTTGTGGCATCCAAAATTTGTACTATGGGGAGTCTAGTACACTTGACAGGACCAGACTTTGGGAATATGGAAGGAGTTGCTTTGAGTTTGAAAATTAAGTCCTTACGATCTGTTTTTCATTTATTACAAAAATGGAAACAAAAACTCACTTTTGATGAACTGAAACTGTTATCAGAATACTATGAACACAAAATTGTTCCTAATGAAGAGGATGTATTATCTGAGTTTTTTATTTTTCCTATGTTAGATGATGTTTCAGGAATTTTTTTAAGCTCTGGAAAATCTCTATGTTTTAATTTTTTTTCAAGTACTGGTAAATCTTTTTATAAAGGTTGTGTTCTTGCTTTTAATAAAAAAGCGCTTAATGAGAGGGTTGATACACCATGGCGTAATGTTCTACAACTTGATGATGATAATAAACCAGAGTGGAGATCATTGTATAAGCCACCATTAGGTAAAAGAGTTGGGGACATACAATGGAGACTTTTACATGGTGCGATAGCAGTTAATGCTTTTATTTCAGTTTTAAATCCTGATGTTTCTGCAGAATGCCCTTTTTGTTCTAGTAGAGAGACTGTTTTTCATGCTTATATGGATTGTGTTAGACTACAAAGGTTGTTTAGTTTATTACATAATTTATTTTATAGTTTTAATGAATCTTTTTCTATAGACGTATTTATTATTGGTTTTAGGTATGTTAGAAGAAATAGGTTTATTTGTCAGTGTTTAAATTTTCTTATAGGTCAAGCGAAGTTGGCAATTTATATGAGCAGAAAAAATAAGATAGAAGGGGGTGCTGATCAAGATATTAATATTATGTTTTTAGCCACTGTCAAATCCAGAATACTTATTGATTTTCGTTTTTATACTTCCATGAATGATGTTATTACATTTGAAGAGAAATGGTGCAAGAATGAGGCTTTGTGCTCTGTTATTGATGGACAAATATTTTTTTCTCATCTACTAATGTAGAAAAAGCTTTGTGTGTGGTATAAAAGGTAAATGGAAAATTAGTAAATGGTGAAACTTGTTTTGTGAAAAATTGTAAATAAAGTATTTTTTCAAAATTCAAAATTCTCTCTCTCTCTCTCTCTTCTCTCTCTCTCTCTCTCTCTCTCTCTCTCTCTCTCTCTCTCTCTCTCTCTCTCTCTCTCTCTCTCTCTCTCTCTCTCTCTCTCTCTCTCTCTCTCTCTCTCTCTCTCTCTCTCTCTCTCTCTCTCTCTCTGATCTCACTGATGTAATGCATATTTTTGTGTCATGAACAATGTTTTAAACATGTTTCAGTTGTGAACATTTAAGTGTTTAAATTCACCTGTAAGTTTACCACCATACTTGAAAGCAGTTTTTACCAGTATTTGATAGAGATCTACAAGGGTCATTAAGACTCCTCTGGACAATGACAATGATCATGCACAATGCAAATGTTTGCAGTTGTGCCCCCCTGACATGCAAATTGCTAGACAAAAGGTTTTCAATTATCTCAACAGCTATAAATCTACCGAAATGTATTAACTTTGTATGAAAGGTTGATGTCATTATATTTATTGTTATTATTATTATTCTTAAAACACCATTTAAATTAGTATTTTGGTCTGTTCATTTGTGCAGACAGTTACACAACCTGACTTTTTTTTTGGGGGGGGGGGGGGGGGGGGTTAGGGTGTTAAGATAACAGAACATAAAATATGTGTTATCTAAATGTACTAAAAATGAATTTAAACTAAAAATATTTTATAGATTAAAGTGATGTATGTTATGAATTTATCAAATTATGTTACGGAAATAATGCACTTGGACACTTGGGAAGTAATGTGTGTGTGCATCTGGGTGCATAAGCATTGTAAATATTAAGATATTACATTTTACTTGTTTGCAATAGCTTTTTAAGACCGTACAATCATCTGTTTCCAAATCTCCAGTCCTTGGAAAACTTTCTTTACTGTCCATGTGCAGAACTAATCATAACACAGTGATGCGAGATGTTCTGGCGCCACCTGCAGGAACAACAAGGAAGTTACATCACCGATTTATCGGCGTTTCAAAGATATTTACATTTCCTTTCAATTCTTTTAATTCACTCCTGCTTATGGATATTTGAGCGATATTGAGGATATTTGTAAACTATATTTTGTACTTTATATATAGTCAAATTTAGGTTTTTATAGATTTAAGTTTATGACTGTGTGTGTGTGTGTGTGTGATGATAGCCAAGGTCTAGATTTGCATCTCAGTTTCGTGCATTAGACAGGATAATTGGTTTCTACTTTCTATAGATTAATTTGGGTAGATTTGCATTTCCTTTTAGCAGCCAAAAGAGGTTGTAGCCTAACATGCTTGGACATGCACAGAAGATTGACCTAGTTTCAATTTAAGACCTTTAGATAATTTTCTTAGAATCCCAGTAGTGTTTTGAAATTAGTTGCATCATATGCAGGGCTGTTATATATATATATATATATATATATATATATATATATATATATGCTATATAGCATTTCATTTGCAAAAGAGGCTGTGGAGTTATTAGGTTTGACTGACAGTTTGCTCCAGTGGAGACACGAGGTTCAATCAAAAGCTCTTTTTAATACGTTTCATTGCTTAAACTTAAATTACAAAACACACAGTGACCAATAGTAATGATTTATGAAAGAAATGGAGTTACGAGGTTTCTGCACAATGTTTAAAATTTGGTTAATTTAGATAGTAATTGTCTTACAGTATTTTACTATTAGAGTGAAATAATAATAATAAAAAAATCCTGGTAATTGAAGGCAAGCAAACAGTGCCAAGCATAAATCTGACCCTGTTCATATGCGTCATATCTAGAATTATGTACAATTCTTTGTGTTAATTAGTTGTCATTTCTTTGTATCAGTTTTCATTGCAATGGATGACAAAAAAGCATGTCTTTATAGTAAACTGATCCTTTTTAATCGATAATAACATGATCAAGACATGAAGAGTTCAATTCCAAGTTTGTAGACACATCAGTGCATCATATGACCAAAGATTGAAAGAAATCAATAAAAAAGACTGCAATAAAATAAGTCTTTAAAGAGACGAAACAAAATATCTACATCAAAAATTACATAAAAATGCTTCACTGACACAGTAGATTAGGACATTTGTTTTATATGTATATATACATATATAGACAAACACTTTTTTGTGTGTGTTGATGAATGTGCAACACTATACCCCCTCTAAAAGGTACATTTAAAGCTAAATTTACAGCAGTTTAACGGAAGGGGTTCTAAGCCACAAATAATGCACAAGCAGAAAACGACCTTTACAAAACAATTAGCTTTTCCCTTTTCTAAATACACTCCCATGTCACTGTGACTGATATTTCAGTAATGGAATCTCTTTAAGCATGTGGCTCCCTTACTAAAAAAGGGAAATAAAATTTTACTAGATGCCCAAACACCTATGATGTCTCAAGTAATACAGACAAATAAATACATTTCCTAAATGTACTAAAACTCAATGGGATGCAATGCAGAGTTCAATACGTATAACCATCACTTGTGCAGAAGAAAATGAACAATAATGGCTGGGTTTCATAAAAAGTGCTATTATAGCATGACAATAGATCCATATTAAAAAATAAAGGAAAAAAATGGCCAGACTGTGATGCTACAATTAAGAGAAATGGCTATACTGAATCTTTTACCTAAAACAAAGCAAGGTTTGTTTTAGATGCTTTCCTACATTTCATCCGATCGGTGCTGCTGTATTATAACTGACGTGGGTTTCTGCTCCATCCAGCTCTCCTTGGTTTTGCTCTGCCCGTCGTAGATCCCCGGAGATGCTGCGGAGTTCCTGTGAGACCCTGAGAGAGCGCCGTCTGCTTTGAGATCTGACTGGGGAGCAGTGGGGAAGTCAGCGGATGAGTTGCTGTTGACACCAGACTCGGAGTCAGACTGCTCGACCCGCTGGTAGTCAGGTGTGTGGTTCTGACCACCGGACAGCAGCACCTGCTTATTCTCTATGGTGGCCACTAGGAGGACATCCTGCTCCGGCACTTCTTTAGCTGAGGTGGATATAATGTCCTCTTTCATGATAGCTGGATAAGACCGCAGGGCTCGGGACATCCCTAGAAAGCAGTGGAAAACCACATTCTTAAATGACTTAGTAACAAAATTGATGCTAAAATAAAAACATCGTAACACAAATCTCTTTCTGCACTTTTTATAATATTATAATGTAAATAGTTTTTTTGATTTAGATTTTATTTTAGAACTTTATTTTGCTCCCAGATATCTAAGAAACATGAAACTGTTATTTAATAACATGACGCTGTCTATAATAATTTTATTAATTAGAATTACTTGAATATTGATTTTTAAAAACTTTTAATCAGTTTTTATATATATTTTTCATATTTATATTAACTATTTAACTTACTTTTAAAGGAGTAGTTCACTTTAAAAAAACTTTTGCTGATAATTTACTCACCCCCATATCATGTCATTCTTTCTCAAGTCGAAAAGAAATTAAGGTTTTTGATGAAAACATTCCAGGATTTTTCTCCATATAATGCACTTTATTGGGCACCAAACGGTTCAAGTTCCAAAACACAGTTTCAGGTCAAACTGCAAACTGTTCAAAGGGCTTTAAACGATTCCAGACGGTGAATAAGGGTCTGATCAAGCAAAACGATCGCTCGTTTTAAAAAAACAAAAAAATCTTATAAGCTCAAATGCTTGCCTTGCTCTGTTCTGTGTGACTCTCCTGTTCGAACTCGTTCATCAAAATGAATGAATCTTTTTCCGAGTTAATTCGTTCATTTCGTTCGTTGAATGAACCTAATGACTCAAAAAAAGATTTGTTCATTTTGATGAACGAGTTCGAACAGGATAGTCACAAACGCACATCACAGAACAGAGCAAGGCGACCATTTGAGCTTACTTTGTTATTATTATTATTTTTTTTAAATGAGCGATTGTTTCGCTTGATAAGACCCTTATTCATCGTCTGGAATCATTTAAAGCCCTTTGAACAGTTTGCAGTTTGCATTGAAACTGTCTTTTGGACCTTGAACCGTTTGGTTACCTGTAAAGTGCATTATATGGAGAAAAATCCTGGAATGTTTTCATCAAAAACCTTAATTTCTTTTCAACTTAAGAAAGAATGACATGGACATCTTGGATGACATGGGGGTGAGTAAATTAACAGCAAAAGTTTTTTTTTTTAAAGGTGAACTACTCCTTTAAATAAATGTTTAAAGTCACAATGAAATCAAAATGGATAATTCTTACTTTTATGCAATATTGCAGTATTGCTTATAAATTATTTATTCTTGCACATCTTTTTGAATGCATTAATGTGCCCTAGTAATCTTAAATCAAAAAACCTTCCCCTCCCTCTTGCAACATTTGTTTCTCTGATGATGTGTTTACTGGCGCAAGGGTGGGACAACCTGTCATTCACATGACATCACAGCAATAGCAAAACACAGCTATCCAATCAAACTCTCGATGGACATAATCAAGTTCCACCCTACATTTTTTTCTTGTTTGAGAAGCCGTTTCACTCAGATATACGGCACAATATGCAAGAATCGGAACTTCCGTTTCATGCCGACTTTAAATAAATGTGTTATTGCTGTGATGTTAAAATTGGTATTGAGAAGTGGCATTTCACTGGTACACCAATGATTACTGAAATAGCATTACTGTATAAGCAGAACAACATTCCTCATTATCCTACAGAAACAATGACAAACGTTGTGCTCACCTGTAGATGATGTATAGAGATCTTTCTGATTGCTGCTGCCAAAAGGATTGACTGAGGGGAAAATGATCAGACAAAAAGAAAGCAGGAACACCTAAAAAACAAAAAAACAACAACAACAACAACAACAGAGAAGGTCAAGAAACGCATCACACTGCTATTGTATTCACGCAAGACAGAATGTTCATACATCATATTTCATTGAAGACCAATTCAACCCTATTGAGATATTAAAATGCCACATGGGTGAAAACTCACCATGATACAAGTGCTAGTCGTGGTGGTTTTCATTGTGGACATTTTCACCATAGCCTGCAATTTTCTTAGCTGTTCAATGAGGGACCTAAAGATACAAAAACCAAAATTGTAGATAATAGCATTTAGGTATATTATTACAACTAATACTAAGACGAATTGAATAGAAAATAATGTTGTGCTAACACATGATGTACTCTTACATGTTTTGTTTCTGCAGCATCTGAACTTTCTTTTGTAATTCCTGGTTGTGAGCAGTGCAGATCGCCACCCTATGGACACACAAAACATTTATTTCAATTACTTAATAAACAACACAAAGTATTTATTCAAATATTTTATGAATCCTTGAGCAGCAAATCAGAACATCAGAATAATTTGTGAAGGATCATGTGACACTGAAGAAAATTCAGCTATTATTATTATAAAATATATTCAAATGGAAATCAGTTATTTAAAATTGTAATAATATTTCACAATATTACAGTTTTTTTAATGTATTTTTGATCAAATAAATGCAGCCTAGGTGAGCATAAGTAATAATTGTTATAAACAAATGCTTTCAATGTACAATATCATTTATTCCTGAAACCTTATTAATGGAATTAATTATAGATCATGATTAAATGAACTATAACAATTACAAACATTCAATATACATTATATTATACAATCTTTACAACTTTTATACTTAGGTCTATTTTGAGAGACATTAAAAGTGTTATGGTGTCTGTTCTCTCCACACGAACCTGTTTTCTAGGCCATCCACGTAAACTTTCTTCTTTTTGCGACTCTCCTGAGCAGACTGCTTGTTCCGGATCTTTCTCCTCACCCTCTTCAGGGTCCGTTCCTCGGCCTAATGAAACACAGCCTTTTAACTAACACTGTCATATTATATTATATTATATTATAGTTTCATTTAAACTTTAATATGAAACCATCATAAATCAGAATCCATTTCTCTTACCTTTGTAAGAGGCATCTGACTTGGAATACTTGCACCTTCTTTTGCCAGAAGTCTCTTCTCTTCATCGGTCAAAACAATCTCCTTGAATTGGAACTGGAGACAGAATATGCACATTATAGCCTTACAGATTTTTTTTTTGTGTATATCTGATTGGAATCTGATCACATTTAGCAAAAAAAAAAAAAACATATAAAATTCGATTTTTACAAATCCATTTTCAGGTCAGGTCAGACGCTGTTATAGGAAACATGCTGAAAGTCGCTACAGAAACAAGGTTATGTAATGTTGTTGAGTAATATAAGGGAGACATGTTGAATTTTGGTACTGAAAATTTTGATCAGATTCCAATCGGATACACATATAATTAGATTTGGACACAGCATTTGTCTATTTTTTTTTTTTTTTTTTTTATGTACCTGGTTGTCTGGTTTGCTATTTTGTGTGGAGTCTTCAATGTTAAGTGAGCAGGGTGGCTCAGGGGAGAAGTCATCATCCATACTGACATTAAAATCATCTGACAGGAAGAAAATAAACTTAAGATGGGGCACTTAAATGAGCCATTTGAACATATAAACAAAACAAGAATATTTTATGCTACCCCTTCACACCACAGCCCACCAAAACATTACCTTACCAACATCTATGAAGACATCGGACTCGGGATTCTCCGAGCGGACACTGAGCAGGGCGTCTGTGTCCTGTGGGAGTGTGTAACAGTGGTCTGTTTGCACCACCTGGGCCTCGTAGCTCTCCATCACACACTCGGAATAAAGCAGGGGTTCGAGGCCTGGACTGGGGATGGTGTCTGTCTCACTGCCATCATGTGGACTTTGGGGGGTCGTATCCTCAGAGATGCCGCTGTCACTGCCATGAGGAGACTGAGACAAGCAGTTGACAGACAGACCATCCTCTTCCTCACCCAGAAGACTGCTTAGAAAGTCCTCTGTATCCATTCCATCCAGCATCTGCAACAATAAAAGCATTCATGAAATTACCAAATATAATAAGTATTATATTATTATTGTTACTATTATTTAATAATATATATATATATATATATATATATATATATATATCGATTTGACAACACTAATATACAGTATATTAGTGCTGTCAACCCGATTAATGCATAGAAAGATGCAGTCATTGAGCTAGTCTATGATAGATTGGACATCACTATATATATATATATATATATATATATATAATTCTCTTTTTATCAGTTTCATATCATAGACTAGCTCTATGACTGCATCTATAATAACATCTACATGAGAAACCATGAAAAAAATATATTTTTAGATTTAGAATGATCACAATACATGAAGGTTACGTACATTATGCCCTAAAAGCAAATCATCCAGGAAGTCATTCCCCCCTGTCAGGAACAGATCACCGGATCCCGGGTCTTCATCTGGGAAGATTAGACCAAGCAGGTCTGTATTCTCCATATCTTCGCTTACTGACATCTAAAAGAGAGAGCAGAAATCAAATGAGAACATAAAAACAGGGTAGATCCGCAGTGACGATGCGCACTGACAGCTCGATCAAGTTCAGACCCCGCCCACTCTCATCATGTGACTGTAATTCCGTCTTCAACAGAACAACACAAATGACATCTAGTGCTAACAACTTTACACCACTGATAGTCCAGACTCAGAGCATGCTAAAAGTCACAATCGCAAACATAAAACGGTTGTGTGTGATAATTCCTGACATATAGTTTTAAAACCAAATTAAAATTACTGGGAACATTACTGTAACACGACGACAGGTCGTTTAATTATTCACTATAACAATAACTGTTACAAGTGCCACGACGATACAGGTATGATTTTAATCTGATTTGGTTCTGATCCGATTTCCTATGTATGTTTAACACATTGCAACATGTGAAGCACAGAAGCAGCATTTACAAATTTATTTTTAACAATAATACTAATAATAGAACAGAATATAATATAATAGAATTTAATGCTTATTGTGATAAATGTTATGATACATTAATCACGCAAAAAAAGAGAAGTATCTTGTAAAGCATCTGACAGGTCTGACATTTGACAGCTTTACAATAACTGAATTGTGAGTAAATGTGATTTTGCTGACATTTCCATCTAAAAAAAGCTGTGAAATAAACTCTTACCTCTGTTGATCTTGTACCGATACAAGATTCGTTGACATATACAACAAATAGGAAGTGCCTTCTCTTTGTCTTGAAATGCTGTTCCTGATGAAATCACCCTCCAACGAGGCAAAAATTGCGTCATCACGTAAGGGTGCATCAGTACGCGCACGTCTTCTGCGAAAGGCTTTCTGGGAGTTGTAGTGTAATACATCATGCCTCAAATAAACCGCTTATGAGTCTGTACTTTTGTAAAACTTTAAATATGAAAATGTTATTGTAAGTTTAAATCCCCAAAACGTACAATAAATTATTTGATTATAAAAATAAACGTTAATTAGAAACTTTAATGTGCAAACAAGTGTACATTCTAGCCTATTCATATCATGTGTATCTTGTATATTTATAAATCCTGTATTTTTTTGTATGCACACTTTTATGTTTTTTTGAGGACTCTTAATCAATGATTTTTATACTGAAAAAAAATTGTATTATAACGCTTACAGGAAACAATCAGCATTTATTAATTTTCATAATAATAACCATAATTTGTTATTATTTATAAGTTGTTTTCCTCATACCATGGGGACCAAAATCTTTTAAAAAAAAGTAAAGGTTTTACTGTCCTTGCAAGGTTATTTGGTCCCCTTAACATAGGGGAATACCTGGACCACACACACACACACACAAAGAAGACACACACCTATTCTTGTACATTTATCTTTGTGAGGACATTCATTTGCAAAACCCATCACAACTAAGTACATAACCAGAACCGTTAAAGAATTTAAACCTTATAAACATAAGCCTTAAACTAATAATAGCCTTAAACTATAAACCTAGCCTTTAACTAATTATAACCTTATCCCTAAAACCAACTCTTGACCTTTAAACAAGTCTCAGAAAGTGAGGACCAGCCAAAATAGCCTCCCTTTTCTCTTTGCCCTTAATCCAATGGTCTAAAACTCAAACTGGTCCTCACAAAGATAGTTGTACAGGTGTGCGCATCCACACACACAAATATTTTGTTTTCACTATAATTTCTGTATTTTAAATCATACATGATATTCGTTTTTCAGGGGACTCTTATTTTATCTTAAATATTTCTAACATTTGTGGTAAAATATAGTGTATCTGAAATTTATTTGCAAAGAGAATACTCGAAACAATGCAGTCTAAAGCACTTTATTACATTTATGACATGACATTAAGACAAAAGTCTTGCCACACTCACCTGCAAACACTCATACTTTCCATTCATTCGTGTAGACTACTTCATTAGAGAAATTCACAGATCTCCTTTTCAATGAAAAAAAAAAAAAACATAACAAAAGAGGTATATCAAATATAACTAGCTGAACTATATCTGTCCCTCATTTCTATATAAGCTTTCTGAGCATCACAGAATGATGCAGAGTTTGGACGTATGCCTCAGGCTCCTGTATGTCTTGAGACGCTCCTTTTTAGCATCACTTCCGTTTACTACATGAGTAACTACTGGCATGCTGTCCACCGCTTGTCGTTTATGCGAGCGGTGCAAGAGAATTCGATAGACACCAGTGATGGAGCTCCTGCAGTCTTTGCCCTGGTTGTTACGAATGTGGTCTGCGGTGATGCCAAGAGCCTCCAGGGCGTTTCTCACCTCTATCTCATGCTCTTCAAGATCCCCTGACTTCGACTCAGCCAGATGGAGTGGGTCCATTTTGAAGGGCTCCATGGCCTTGGGAAACTCCACCGGCAGCAGCCACTCACAGCCCATCATCTGTTCTACACTGTAGCGGTCAGACGGCTGGGATTGCAAGATGCCCCGGATCAGTTTCTGACAAGCTTCTGGAACCCAGGTAGGCACTGTGTACGCCCCATCCAGTATGGAGCGCTTCAGCTTAGCCACCGTTTCGGCACGGAAAGGCATGGTGCCGGTCACCATGAAGAAGAGCATGACCCCCAGGGCCCAGATGTCCACGTAAACACCTATGTAGTGTTCGTCTCTGAAGAGCTCAGGGGCAGCATAAGGGGGAGAACCGCAGAAGGTGTTGAGGGTCTCGTCGCGACGGCTGACGGTGCTGAAGCCAAAGTCTCCCACTTTAACACAGGTGCTACAGGTGTAAAAAACATTCTCTGCTTTCAGGTCTCTGTGAATTATGTTATTGTCATGCTGCAAAATGACAAAGAGAAATTACTATTAACAACTAAATAAATAGATATTCTGAATAACAATGTTGATACATTCATTATATATATATATATCCCTCTGGGGTTGTTCGTTTCAGCGAACCCAAAGGACCCAAAGAGCGGGATTCATATTTAAAAAAAAAAAAATCATGATTTTTTTAAACTTGTTTTTTATAATATTTTTTCTTTTTTGGTGTTTTGAGAAAATGTCAAAAAATATATATATATATATATATATATATATAATTAGTATTAATGCTATAATTATGACAAAATTTCCCCCCATTAAACATAATAGAAAAAATATTAAAAAAAAAATACATATTTCTTTTAAAGCTGTATGTCATTTTAGAGTCAAGCCTAAGCCTCATAAAAGCAATTTTTGAAATGAGATGGATGCTATCTGGTGGACAAACTGAGCATTTTAAAAATGCAAAACACACGTCTAATCTGAATTTTTTGGTGTGTTTGTGTATAAAAGTGTGTTTGTGTGTCTGGATGTGTCTGTTTTGCACTCTTGATGTTTTATAGATTCACCCCTTCACTGTTGTGTGCTTTTTTTCCAAGATCGTGGCTGATTTGTAGATTGTATGCACAAAAAAACTCACTATTTTCACATTTTTGCCAATTTCCCATTCATTTTCCACTTAGACTATTCACATCCTGTCCCCAATTTTTTTGGGTGTTCAAATACCAAATACCAACAAAGTCACCAAATTTCGGACCATTCCGAGGAAGCTGTGATTTAAAAAAAATATATATATTTAAATTCTTCGGGTCCATTTGGGCCGAACAACCCCAGAGGGATATACATACACACTATATATTGTATATATATATATATATTATACACACTTAAATATGTTTTTTAAATATTATTTAAGAAATAATAATAAAATATAATGTCACAATATTTAATAATGTTTTTATTTTAATTTATGCCTCCCAAAATTATCAAAATGAATTTAAAATCTGCCAAATTTGAAAGAAAGAGAGAAAAGTAAATGAATTGCCTCGTTCTACTCTATTCCATGCTTCATGTACATCTCACCATATGCTTCACGGCTGAGAGAACTTGAGAGAAGACAATCTTGCTGTCGATGTCGACGAGCTTTCCCTCTGTGCTGATCTTGGTGTAGAGCTCTCCTCCGCTTGCGTACTCCATGACCAGGTGCAGACGGGTCAGAGTCTCCACCACCTCATACAGACGGATGATATTTGGATGGTGCAGTTTTTCCATGCTTGATATCTCCCGGGAGAGCAGTCTTTGGGTCTTTTGATCGAGCTTGGTCTTGTCCAAGATCTTTATGGCTACTTTGTCTGTGAATGACAACATAAAGTTTCAGCTACAGGAGCTTCTCATTCAGAAATCATTTATATTCATTAGTCTTTAATCGTTAATGCATTCTAATGCAGCGTGTATATATGAAGTGCTTAGTCAAAACAGCAGTAAACATCCACTGTAATAAAGGAAAGACCTTGAGCAGTTTTGATATCAGATATGGTGTGCAATGCGATATGGAATGTCATTCTACACCCTTTATTCAAGATCTGCTGCAACACAACAAATACACTGTCCAGTGTAATTCACATCGCTTCGTAACGGCACACTCCGACCTCCTATCCCTTACACACACCCATCTTTGATGAGGCCTACAGCAATTCTAAAGGTCTCGACAGAAATGTGACTCCTCAAACTGATCCATCTGACTGAACCAGACAACTTGTCTCAGCTTGACTTTGACCGAGGGCATGCTTCCCACATTATCATTGTAACACTGACCATAAAGCACACATACTGGGTTATATGGGTTAAAACTACATTTAACAGTACTGTATCATGGCAACAAGTTTGGCAGGAAAATATAATTTGAATGTATTTTTTGTATTAATATATTAAATATTACTATAATAGTTGGAGACACTCAACAATATTATTGATTTAACTGCACTGGCACTATTGAATGAAAACTGAACTGAGCTGGATGATGACATCACTGTTTTTTGCGGAACTGCTTTATAGATATTAGATAGTCAATAATTGATTTTTACAACAGAACTGAATCAACACTGAACAGACTTTAGATTATCAATGACTATTCTCTTTAAAGGCTGCTTTACAGCAGAAATGAACTCTTTTGGGATCATTTAATTATAAAGCTGCTTTGAAACAATTTGTATTGTATAAAGAACTATAAATAAAGGCTTGACTACCTGTTTTGGATCCAATGTAACAATATTCAAAATTTTTGAGTTGTAATGTACACACTCACCTAAAGGATTATTAGGAGCACCATACTAATACTGTGTTTGACCCCTTTTTGCCTTCAGAACTGCCTTAATTCTATGTGGCATTGATTCAACAAGGTGCTGAAAGCATTCTTTAGAAATGTTGGCCCATATTGATAGGATAGCATCTTGCTGTTGATGGAGATTTGTGGGATGCACATCCAGGACACGAAGCTCCCGTTCCACCACATCCCAAAGATGCTCTATTGGGTTGAGATCTGGTGACTGTGGGGGCCATTTTAGTACAGTGAACTCATTGTCATGTTCAAGAAACCAATTTGAAATGATTCGAGCTTTGTGACATGGTGCATTATCCTGCTGGAAGTAGCCATCAAAGGATGGGTACATAGTAGCCATAAAGGGATGGACATGGTCAGAAACAATGGTCAGGTTGGCTGTGGCATTTAAACGAAGCCCGATTGGCACTAAGGGGCCTAAAGTGTGCCAAGAAAACATCCCCCACACCATTACACCACCACCAGCCTGCACAGTGGTAACAAGACATGATGGATCCATGTTTTCTTTCTGTTTACGCCAAATTCTGACTCTACTATCTGAATGTCTCAACAGAAATCGAGACTCATCAGACCAGGCAACATTTATCCAGTCTTCAATTGTCCAATTTTGGTGAGCTCTTGCAAATTGTAGCCTCTTTTCCTGTTGTGAAGATGAGTGGTACCCGGTGGGGTCTTCTGCTGTTGTAGCCCATCTGCCTCAAGGTTGGGTTAGACATACCTCGGTTGTAACGAGTGGATATTTCAGTCAAAGTTGCTCTTCTATCAGCTTGAATCAGTCGGCCCATTCTCCTCTGACCTCTAGCATCAACAAGGCATTTTCGCCCACAGGACTGCCGCATGCTGGATGTTTTTCCCTTTTCACACCATTATTTGTAAACCCTAGAAATGGTTATGGGTGTAAATCCCAGTAACTGAACAGATTGTGAAATATTCAGACCAGCCCGTCTGGCACCAGCGACCATGCAACGCTCAAAATTGCTTAAATCACCTTTCTTTCCCATTCTGACATTCAGTTTGGAGTTCAGGAGATTGTCTTGACCAGGACCACACCTCTAAGTGCATTGAAGCAACTGCCATGTGATTGGTTGATTAGATCATTTCATTACTGAGAAACTGAACTGGTGTTCCTAATAATCCTTTAGGTGAGTGTATATAATTTTTCACAACTTTCAACATGTTTAGAGATGTTGCAACATTCAAAAAAGTAAATAAAAAATAAAGATAATTAATTATAATATAAAAATATTTAATACTTATTTCTTTTTACATTTTAATATTCAAAATATAAAAAAACTGGATATCTAATTCATCACAGCCTGATAATTCTCTGTATACAGTGCTGATCGAAAGTTTGGAGTCAGTCAGTAAGATTTCTTAAAATATATTTTATTATTAATTTCTCTTTAATTTAATCTTTTGTTAGCAAGGATGGATTCAATTGAAGAAAATTGAAAGTAAAAACTTTTACATTGTTACAAAAACTTACTATTTCACAAAACAAATGCTGTTCTTTTGAACTAGAGTAATGGCTGATTGAAATTCAGCTTTGTCATCACAGAAATGCATTAAAAAAATTATAATATATATATATATATATATATATATATATATATATATTAGAAAAGTTTTATTAAATTGTAATAATATTTCCCAATTTTACAGTTTTTACTCTATTTCAAATAAATGCAAACTTGCTGAGCAGTTTCATTTAAAAAATAATTAAATATTTTACCGAAACTAAAATTTTGAAGGTAGTGTACCAATCTTCTAAGTGAATATTTGACTTTTCACAATTTCACAATTCTCAACAAGTTTAGTGATGTTGCAACAATGATATGACTTATTCCGATATTAATTACATTAAAAAATATTTAGTACTTAAAAAACGACTTGAGTCTAAATATACAAAATTGTACACAAACATTAGGGGTCATCAATATGGATCGATACATCGATCAAATGACTAACAATATTACAATGTATCGATGCAACGTGTAAAAAATCGATACCTATATTTTTTTCAAGAGACACCTTTTTTACCACATCTTCACGCAATGTCCGTCTATGCATTACCGGCACCAACGCACACGCATCCTCGTTTAAAATCACCTGTAAGGGCTCGGCAATAAAGACAGCGTGAAAGACGGAGCGTCACTGTCTTTTATCAGTAGCACGTGTGTTAAACCTTAAAGCCAATTTAAGGATTCCATCACAAACAGACACAAAAAAGAAAATGCTTCGGTACTCAAGCACAGTGTGAAGTTTTCTGTGCGCACACACAGAGAGGGCTCTCTTTCGCTTTTGTGCTTGAACGGACACAATTACACTATGTCAGAATGCCCGTCTTGGCGAATATCCTCGTAAACACCGTCGTTCATGTCTTGTAAATGCAAAATGTTAACTAAATTTAAATTTCTGTGCCTTTCTTGATGCGTTGTTCTTGCTCTCTGGTCATGTTTTGTTCTGTTTTGTAAAAAAAAGAAAAAGAAGAAAAAAAAATCTGTGCCTGAAAACTTAATTAATTAGTCTCTGTTCTATTGCATTTATTTGTGCTATTGTAATTTGGTTATCTGTAGAAAATATTCTTAGCATTGAGGCTTCGCATGTCTGCATTTGGCCCAGACTGCAGACAGAAAGACTTTTATAGAGGTCAATGCAACTAAAAAAACTGGGCTCCAAGTATGCATTTCCAGGCACTTGCAGGAAATCTTCTCAAGAAAGTCAAAGCATATGTATTATTACATACAATTGCTTACCTTTCGTTAGGGCGTGGATGCCCAGCTTGACGTGAGAAAAGTTTCCGCATCCGATCTCGCCACGTATCTTGTAGAAGCCGATGCGGCGACCCAAGGTGAGCTCTCGCACCATCTTGTCATCTTGGCACATGTCCAGATTGAGCTTCTCCAGAGGGGTGAGGCGGCGCAGCTGGGTCCCCTCGTCGTCCGTGCAGATGTCGGAGCTGTCCTGACGGCTCCATCGTGCATAACGCTGGGGACCCACAGCTGAGACCCCGACGGAGCCCCCCCCAGACGGATAGACGGCAGTCATCCTGCCACAGGCCACTGGGGGGCTTAGCTCATGGCAGGAGACCTGGAACTAAAGCACCACCTGAAGGTAAAAAATGATACACAAGGAGGAAGATTTGCTTATTTACCCCTTGACCACATAAAACTCAAGGAGCCTATTATAGAGCAAATAACATAATATAAATATTTCAAATATTATTGAACACTAAAAAAAGTTGCCTTACATTTTATATGTGCTATCAACTTAGATGTTTAAGTCATCCCAAATTAAATTACATTAAAACTGACTGAATCTTATATATATATAAATATATATATTTTGAAAATTGCTAAACTTATTTTGATAAGTTAAAGCAATGTAAAAACGTATGTTGTCATAACTTATTGATCATATCATTTTTACAGTGTATCACATATTCTGGACACTACTATAGCCTAAAAATAAGGGTAATATAATATATATATATATATATATATATATATAGTATAAGTATACTAAATAATGAATACATTTAAAAATGTACATAAACTAATATAAATACATTGTAATAACATAAATGAACAATTTGAGCAATTTTCCATTACAAAGCATCATGGCGCATTCATGAATAGTCCTTTCTCACCTTCACATGTTGTCTTGAATGTCTGTGTCAATTTCCAAAATTAGCTCATTATTGCCACACCTCAGCTCAAAGTAGTACACATATCCAAGTATAAAGGAGTAGACGTTTAGGGTCGTCTGCTTCACCCAAGCGGCCAGGTGCACAATGCTGTTCCTTCCCCTTAGTCCTGCGTCTCCCTGAACCTCATCAGATATGCCCGATTTAATTGGTGCGTTGCCTCAGCGATAAAAATAGACTGGGGATCAGCGTTGAGAACGATGAAGGCTCTGATTGTTGCCTGACTGCTATAACAAGGCTCCACGCTGCTCTCGGAAGTCCTGATTTCTTGTATGGTGCTTCCTCTCATTTAACATCTTTGGCTGGATGGTCATTCAGAAATGGGGAAACCACATGGAAAACAGCCACTCCCTCTGATTTGTTCATGTCGGTGTGTGTTTTTTCTGAGCTTCTGACTCACTCTACAGTCTTCTTTCTGGGATTAGCGTGTACAGAGATCCTAATCCGTGCCTTTAGTGGTCCTTAATTATCCAAAGTAAACTGTAGGGACTAAACTAAATTAATAAATTAATGAATAAATGAATAAACTAAACCTGAGTTCCTGTTTACCTGGGAAGAAAGAAAGAGGGAGAGAGTACATTAAGACCATGACAATACCTTTACCCTGTCCTTAGCTCAACTTTCCTTAAGCTAAACCCTTAGTTTATGGGTTTTTTTTTCCTCCTTTAAATTTAGTTTGTCTAAACCTGTGTGGAGATATTTTGTGGCAAAGTTTTTGAGGCTTTTACACAATTTTTTTTATAATTAAATTATTTAAAAACTGAAGAAAACTAAAATGAACACATATTTATAATTTGAAGCCAATTAAATGTCTAACTACAAATGTGACTGAGATCGTTGTGTGTTTTGTGCTTCAGGATGCAATTAGGGTGAGTTTGCTGATGTAGTTTCTTTAACAAAGTCCCTAAAGAGCAAAATAGAAGTACACAGAGTGTCCTCGAGCCACTGAGCACTAACAGCACACATAAAAAAGCCCTACACACCCATTACGCCACAAATAACATGATGTATAAAGCAATAACATAATATCAATTCAGACTACGCTCAATCTGACTGTATTGACAGTTAAACAATTACAAAAGCAAACACCACTGTTCATTTTTTTTAAGTAAAGTAACTTTTAAATCAGCAAGGATGTATTAAAATTGATAAAAAATGACAGTAAAGCCATTAATAATATTATAAAATTCTATTTCTAATAATAAATGCTGTTCTTTTGAACTTTATATTCATCAAAGGATCCTGAAAAAATGTATCAGTTCCCACAGTGTTCAAAATCGATTATATTAAGAAATGTTTGTTGAGCAACAAATCAGCATATTAGATGTGACACTGAACTGAAGACTGAGTAATGATGCTGAAAGGTCAGCTTCATAATTACAGTACAGTAATACATTATAATGCTTTAAAATAGAGGATGGGCACCTTTGTAACCGACCCCAAACTTTTGAATGGTAATTTAAGTATTGAATCATTCATGATGTTGATATGCGATTGAACATTGTTTTCACTTGATCTATGATGTTACAATATCTATCTATCTTTTTTTGCACATGCTCTTTGATCAAAGCCAAGGACACCAGGTGTGTTAAATTGAGGCAGTTTCTCATCACAGGAGTATTGAGGATTGCACCTGCACAAACACCTTTAAGTGTGACGATGTGTTCTTTGCAGGTGGAAACGAGCCGTGATGCTGATATAAGCTGCTGAGCTTGGTTTTCAACGGGGTTCTTTGACGCAATAGACAAAACTAAATTCTTTTGTTCTAACTCCCTGACTATCAGCATTTTAGGATTATTTCGAAACCAACCAGATGTGTAGGAAGTGCTTTGAAGCTGAACAGGTGATACAGTCATGAATCTTTAAGTGTGTATTGTGTTACTACCATAAATGATAAGTGATTTGACAACCGAATAAGAACACAAACAGTCTTAAACGCAACCAGCAGGTCTTTCTGAGAGATCTTTTTCTTCATTAAATCCACTGAGCATTCAAAGAATAAGACTGGAGATTATAATAAGATCGCACAACAACATTGTGTTGATTTCAACAATCCTGTGTGAAATACTATGGTTTTTAAAAGTTTTGGGTAATGTTTTTGAAGAACAACTGCATTTATTTGATACAGTAAAAACAGTAATATTGTGAAATATTAATAAAATAAAAATAATTTTTAAATATACTTTAAAATGTCACATATTACCGTAAGCTGCACCATTACTCCAGTCTTCAGTGTCACATGATCCTTTTTTGGTGCTCAAGAAACATTTCTTATAATCAATGTTGAAACCGGTTATGATGCTGAATATTTTTTGAGTAAACTGTGACTTTTTCAGGATTCTTTGATGAATAGAAAGCTCATAAGAACAGCATTTGTTTTAAATATTTTTTGTAACAATGTAAATACCTTTAATCTTTGAAAGTATATGAATAAAAATGTCATCAATGTATCTTTAGTTTAATGATTGATAAACTGATCATTATATAAACAGTGGGATGGTAACATACAAATAAACATAGGGCTGCAACAAATCTAAATCTATCTGATGTAGATATTTGACCTTCCTCATATTTTCTATCATTATGATTCCCTTACTTCACACACTCTATACCACAGCATAGCACACACAATCAAAGTGATGTACAAGAGATGGCTTCAAACGCTGTGCTGTATGTGTGTGTGCTGAGAGCTGCTGATTGCTGAAGGGGCTGCAAAGATTCAACCGCTGACAAAATTCTCCTTTAAAGTGTAAACCAAGCAGGAATCCTAAAACGATCCATTCAAGTGAATGGATGTGCATGTGTCTGCATTATGATGTTGCATGGGTTCTTGCAGAAGCTCAAGCGTGCTGCGTAACACATGAGAATAAACCTCATGGGTTCTCACAGGTCAAGCAAACATGCTTGAGCTTCCATTCACCACAAAATGTGAGTTAATGAATGTTTATTTGTGAATAAAAGCCCAAATGCAATCTCATAATATAAAGTAGAGCCAGATGAATATTTCAAAAATAAAATAAAAACGGACGAAACACGCTTCAACCATCTCTCCTTGGCCTGTTATATTGAAAATGTATGTTTTACAATTTGCAGTATGATGTTATCTATTGCCAAATTATGGCTCATCATAGACTAGCTAACCATAAAGCTAGCTAATGCCACTATCCTCAGTGGAAGACCGCTAGTGTTAACATTAATGAGCTTCTGGAAACCACAATGAACTTTTTCTGCCTAAATAAAGTAATGATTGCTGTATTTATAACTAGCATATCTCTAGTTACAGTCCCTGCATTGTAAAATGTAAGTTAGACTTGCGAGGAGTGAACATTTAGACGTAGAGAAAAAGTATCAAATGTATCTTGTGCATAAAAGTTAGCTTTTCTTTTACACGTGTGTGAAATCCAACGATGCCAAGTGTGTGTTGCAGACTGTCGTTCTGTAATGGATTTAGAATTTCTAAATAGTAGGTTTTAGGAGGCAGGCAGCAACTGATGACTGAAAATGGTTTGATATAGCTTGATGGAAAGAATTTAATAAGCAAGCTGACATTGTAATTATAATGTAGTTTATAAGGCAATTTAGGGACGAATTATTATAATATTTATCAGAACTTTAATATATTTTGGTGTCCCTCTGTTCTGGAAACAAGTTTCTTTTTAAAATGCTTTATCATATTATTTTAGTTAACACTCATAAATAACTACAAAAAACTACGTTTTTTCTGAAATAACTAATAAATAAATAAATAAATAAATAAATAAATAATATCGGCCGATATATCAGAATATCAGATTTTAAAACCAAAAAATATTTTTTTATCGGTATCAGCCTTCAAAATCCTTTATTGGTCGGGCTCTAATATAAAGTCTCTTCAGAAAATTTGGACTAAACATATGGATTAGTTTTGCGATCTCTTTATGATCTCTTTGAAGCGTCAAAGTGGTAGTTGTGTAGCTGTCAATTGAGTAACAAAAAAGCTTTCAGATTTCATAAAAAAAAGATCTTCATTTGTGTTCAGAAGATGAAAGAAAGGGTTCGGAACAACTTGAGAGTAAGAAAATGTCATTTTCATCTCGTAAATGCTCTCGTCATGTGAAATGACATACAGTGCTTGCCTAGTTATGTGCCTTTGGGTCCAATATCAACCTGCTTCACCCCTAAATAAATATATATATTTTTTAAATTTATATAATTTTATTTCATGTCACACATTTGGAACAACATAAGCATAATATAAAGTAAATGATAACATCATTTTTATTTTTTAGATGAGATATCCCTTTCAAAGTGTATTTCTATTGAAACTTTTTTGTTCTAAAACACAAATTCCATATCAATTAGTCAAAAACAGCAAAAAGCTCATCATGTAGCTCTTCTCCGGTACACAACACCATTAGGATTTAGAATGTGGTACTTACATCAACTGTGTGACTCCCTTTGCACTGAATACACGTGAAGCATTGTCCACAGGGGCCATTTCTACCAATACGGCCCTGATCTACACAAGATAAACACTCCCCAAATGGGATATCAGTGGCCCCTGAGCCTTGTTGCATGAACAGGGCTCAGCCAGCAAAATCTTTCGCTCAAACGCAGGCACTCATTCTACAGAAAGTAACATTCTCACTACTATTGCTCATTCACTCTGACTTTCCTCACTGCTTCCAAATATACCAAATTCATATTATTCATTAAATAGTAGGCAAAACGTCTTTGATTTTTTTTTTAATCAAAAATTCGATTCTGAAGTGCACATCCTTTTGAACCATTACTATCCCACAAGGCCATGGGGACGTATTTGGGAATGGCAGTAAAGCGACGCAACGGACACCGTACGTCACATGACACTGACAATCTAGCAATGCTACAGTTCATACTACAAGGAACATCCTTGTAAGTTCCAAATCAAATGTAGTACCTACTCAGTATGCGATTTCATTAGCAGCTTTCGTGTACACACTCATAGGCACCGCTACACAAAGCCCTCCCATGTGTGTTTTGATTGAGACACATGGCCAGCGAGGGGAAAAAGAGCTCAATAGTGAAAAGATCAGGAACAATAGGGGGCCAGAGGTGCCAATCTGGAATTTCCATCACGTAGCTACAGCTACTGAATGGCAAATCATTTATTGAGGAATAAAGCACTTAAAACCTATTTTGGACCTGATATCAAACCCAAAACCAAACACTGTCATATCACATGAGAAGAGGGCATTTAAAGGGATAGTTCATACAAAAACGAAGATTCTGTCTTCATTTACTCACCCTCATGTCGAGTTTGTTTCTTCTGTTGGACATAAAATAATATATTTTAAAGAATGTTGATAACCAGAGAGTTGGCATTCAAGTACACATTTTGAGGAGGCACTGCTATAGGCTACATGATGAACTGAATTGGTTACATCTCTTTCTAAATAATGCTATTAATTGTAACTGCATTAAAATGCATAAAACCACAAGCATCACACATGCTTCAGAACATGTAAACAGATTTTGATACATATCTGAATATGTCGTTTAATGAGTCCTTAAATAAGGAACATAATTAAGGAGTTCAATTGATGTTTAGACCTTTGAGGGGGAAAAACATGCAAATTATGCGACGAAACCACAAGGCTGTTTCCGTTGCATTGTGCCCTGTTAATGTATTCCCAACGCATCAAAGCAGCTTTAATCTCAGACCTAAAACCATGTTTCATGTCATCCAACTAAGGAGTCATCAAAGGGGCCTGAACAAAAGTTGACATCAATCCGTGAAAAACTAGAAAGGATCATTCGATATAATAAATTACAATATTCTCAGTAAATTAATACTTCTATTCAATAGCTACATGTGTTGTTCATTAAGGCCTGGAGATTCACACACCTGTAGGCTACAACTGTTCAAACACTAATGCGGTTTTATTATTTACACCCGAGACCCTCTGTAGACCCCCACAAATTCCCTAAAGCAAGACTAAATTGTGTTTATCATAAATGGCATTGGATTAGAAGATTTTAAACCAGTTTGTCAAGCTTTGTAAATGGTAAAAATGTAAAATAGTATGACATTATTTACACTAATAATAATAAAAAGAGTAAATGTATGACACTATTTCAATTAATTACTTTCAAGACACTTACTGTTGACACCACGCAGGTTGTCAGATTTTGGTGACTAGTTGGACTGCAATATAAAATATGACTAATAATATAACGTTATAATTTTACTTTTTAAATGAGATAATGTTCGCCAAAGATGAATTGTAGTTTCCACGCTACAAATGCTGCTGGGTAGTACATCAACATCAAGATTTGTCGATTGATAGCTACACACAATTGATATCTCCATGCCTTGTAAACAATTTGTAAACAACTGATCATACTTTTATGAATGTACTAATCTCTCGTATAGTGATAATGGATTAGGGTAAATATCCTTACCTTTCTTAGGCGTCGCGAGATCATTCAGTGTCTTCTCGGTGCGTGTCATTGGCCTGAAATGTGATGCGTGAGGACTCCAGGCACCATCACAGGCCAAGAGACGGACAGCTTCGTTAACCAATCGCATCTCAGGGCGGGATTAAGGGGTGATTTAAACCAATAGGCTATTAGGACATTTCTTAGACAGACCATAAAACGTGGATCTTTTGAAATTGGTTAAAAATGTAAAATATGTAAAAATAGTTACAAATGGACGGCTTTAGTTTTCTAAAAAAACAAAAAACATTTAGCATTATCCTAACCAACGTATTAATTCAAAGTACCAATTAAATATTACTTTTGATGATCCTATAAACTAGCAGCATTCAAACCTTTTTATCCCACTAGCAGACAGCTATATGTTTGTTTGCATTTATTTATAAATAACCATTCAAACTATGTGAGAAAAACAGTAACATTTTAAAATAATCATTTTTTTTTTTTTGGCTCCCCACTATGCAACACGCTATTCAAACAAAAACAAAATAGGTCTTCCCGCTTGGTTGAAAATATAGACTGTAAAAAATAGGTTGAAAACCAGCGATCTTGAGGTTCCCTGGCAGCCGGGCCAATGCATCTCAGTTTAACCCATGTCTGCTTCAGCAGTAAAGAGTTGCTTCATGCCCTAATTATTAATGTCACTACTCAAAATAGGCGCAGAGTTTCAATATGCGACAACCATTTCACAAGGTTGCAGACCTTCAGATTTCTCTCTCCTCTAGCATCTGCATGATCACTGTAATTCAGCACTGACTGAATAAGAAAAAAAAAAAGATTAGAAACAACCCAGGACTGCATTTCTGTTTCTCTGGATTATTTGGGAACACATTTTGTACTTTTTTTATTTTATGAAAATAAGCTTCAGTTCTTACACACACTATAAACATACATCCAAAAACAAAAAAAAACAAAAAACATTTCTTCCACCCCAGAAACAGTCTTGGCGACGAGCACGATTCTTGAAATCAATTACATCTCTTACTATTCTTATCTACAACATACATTAAAAGCATGACTGAACCTGTGATCAGATTTATAGAGACACTTGCTTTCAGAGAATTGATAAGCAAAGCTGAAAGAAATTAAGCAGCTGATCCAGTTTTTGGATGACACTAGAAAGAACATTACTGTATAATTTTAAGGGCTGGGAAAGGAGAAAATGCCTGATTAATCTCCCCATTTCATTCTTTAATTGTCCATGCACAGCAGAAGCCTTTCATACATTTGCAATCTTTTCTTCTTTCAAACGGTCCATGGCGTCTTGTTTAACGTCACAGTCTGCTGGTTCTGCAACAGTCACCTGTTCTATTTGGATGTCCATCGCTTGCTCTTTCAATCGCTCACCATCTACTTGTAAAACCACTGTCTCTTCCACCTCACCTTCCGTCTGAGGCTTCTCTTCCTCCCCCACTAGAGTCTCCTCAACAGCAACAACATCCACCGGCTCCACAGTAACATGCTCCACCCTTATGCCATCCTCCAATATAACTCCCTCCTCATACTCTGCCATAGTCAAGACTGTGGTTGGGTCTGAAATCATGACTTCCTCTGTGACGATAACCTTCTCCTGTAAGTCGTGTTGTTCTTGCAGATGAGTATGGAGGTCTCTGGGTTGTGTGAACCACTGATCGCAGAGGGTGCAATGATTGGGTTTCTCACCCGTGTGGGTCACCAAATGGTCCTTGAACTGCTCCCAACTATTGAAAACACTGCTACAGACCTGAGGTGCAAAAAAAAAGATAAATGGAAACAGTGAATCGAAAAACAAGTGAATAGGCCTGCATGAAAAGCGACATAATGTAGTGCCATCCCATTATATAAAATGCATAAATCACACTCATGAGTGAAGCGCTGAACAGTTCTTGCACGGTAACAGCTCTTGCTCTGGTGTTTTTAGTGTCTGATAGAGGCTCAGATCACCAATAAATGCTGCTCTACAGTCTACACAAACTCATCTCGGCATGTTCTGTGAGTTTTGGTCACTTATAATTTGGGAAGGCAACATGCATCAACTATCTACCCAAACACTTGTAATGAGTGCTTATAAATCAGTTGTCAACAATAGTTATGATTTAATAACCATTGTTTTTCTATTAAAATGGTGCTCTGTCATTCAAAACGATGTAGTATAAATATTATCATTGTGATTTTCCAGTTGTACTCTCAACTAAATTATATTTTCTTACACTGTAAAATATAATACTACACATTTTAAAGTACTGGGACAGCAGCAAACCCAGAGAAATCCTAAATTGCCATTTTCATCATAAGTGAGGTTTTCAGAAAATTTTGTATATTAAAATACATGTTTGGACAATACGTTATTGGTTAAAACCAACCTGGCATTCATAGAGCTTCTTTCGGCCTTTTTTGGCCCCAGAGCCATTTTGACACGCTGACATGTGGCACTTCAGCGTACTATTCCTGGCAAAACGTTCATGGCATTCTGGACACTCAAAGGGTTTCTCACCTACACATATGTGGATAAATGAAAAACTGATTAGATATTAAACTTGAATACATTTATTAAGATCCATTTAACCTTACAATAGCTCACAAACCTGTGTGCTTCCTTAAATGCTCTTTGAAATGTCCAAAATGATCGAACTGCTTTTCACAGTACTCGCAAACATGCACTTTCTTTTTCTGCCGTCGGGACTGTTCCTCTGCATCGAAATGAGAATTATTCAGGTGCTGTTTAAGGGCTCCTTCCCGAGCATATACTTTGCCGCAGTGCCTGCAAACAAAGCCCCTATCCGGGGTAGATGCGTGAGTCTTCATGTGCTGTTTGAGGTGGTAGTAGAGTTTGAAGCAGCGCTCACACTTGTCACAACGGAAAAGATTGTCCAGCTGAGAGATCTGGACCTCCACCACTTCAATATTCTCCAGCGTCTTGGAGGCAATCACAGCCTCTTCCGGCACAACTACTGTCTCATCCTCCTTTTTCATTACATGGAGTATCTGCTCTTCCTGTTGGTACTTGCTAGTGATATCAGCCAGCAAAGCCAACGCGGAGTCATCCGAAGACGGTTCGGTGGAACTCCTGGCAGCATCCACTACCTCCACCAGACCGCTTTCCTCTACCTCAATATGTTCCTCATCAACCTCCACCTCGATTTCAACAGATGCAGTCTCCACTGAAGGAAGAGTCTCAGTGATCACATTGAAGGTCTCTGCGATCTTCCTCTTCTTAGCCTTGCTCTTTCCAGCCAAGGCCTGGGGGGGGCTTAATGGGGTGGTACCATTCCTTCTAGGTGGGAGAAGAAAATGAACAGTTTAATAATCAACTACGGGATCAAATCAAGCAGAAGAACTTTTTTTTTTTTTTTTTTTTTTTTGAGAAGTAGAATAGGCGAGTAACCTGTTGTTCAAGGCTTTAATTGCCTCCTGCATTTGAAGGTACTCTGCTGCTCTCCAGACATCACTGACTTCTTCCTCACCATCCACAGCTAATGTAGCCGTATAAGTGAATTCCATTAGGTGGCGGAAGGCAATGTTGCCAACACCTGTTCATTGCAACAGAAATATTCCCAGTAATTTTTATTATTTGAGCATATAACATTCTGGAGTAATTTTTTGATTTTTACTATCGGGGCTGGGGGTACGTAACGTGCAACAGCAGAAATGTGCATGTTTTGTCAACCGGTCCACTTGGAACCAAAAACATGAGGTCCAACCTGAGCGGATTCAGGTCTGATATTAGTAGCCTCTGGTTTCTGGTAAAACAAATGTGCTTTTACACAATGGTCCCAAGAACCTATAAACTAAATAGATTTTTAAATTTTATTTTTGCTAAAAATGAAAAAATTATATATATATATATATATATAAAATTTCATTTTTAGCAAAAATAGAATTTAAAAATCTATTCATTTTTCATTTTTAGCAAACATAGAATTTAAAAATCTATCTATCCATCTATCTATCTATAGATATAAATAAAAATCTGAATAAAAAAAGTATATATATATATATATATATTATATATATATATATAAATCTGAATTAAAAAAGGTTTCTCAAGGTCTAAAAACGTTGTTTTAGAAAACAGCAGACAAATGGCTCGTTTCCACTGAGCGGTACGGTACAGTACAGTACGGGTTGTGTCGGTAAACCATGTAAACCGGCAAAAACTACATTCTCGCCTGAAAAACTCTTAAAACTTTGTGACACAATAACAGTGGTATTATTTCAACTGTATATTAAAAAATGGCACTTCTGATGCCCTTATAGCACGCGAAAGTGACGATACTCTGTCAACCAATCTAACCAACTCTGTCAACCAAAAGTCTAGCTCCACCCTTTGGTACCAAAAAGCCAAACCGTACCACAAATGGGTACCCTTCTGTTGGGGTACCTAGCGCAGTGGTATGGTACGGTTCGGCGTTTTTGGTACCATTTACAACTTTTGACAGTGGAAAAGGAAATAATTACCAAACTGTACCGTACCGTACCACTCAGTGGAAATGAGCCAAAACTGAATGCAAATTCACTCCTCTCTGACAGTAGGTGGCGCTTATGGAACAGCAGTGGTTACATTGGTTACCACTGAACATAAAACAGCGCTGCACTTATAAATGCTACTTTATACAGAGATAAGAGAAAAGGAAAATGATAATTTTGATCAAAGTAATTGCAAATTTCTCTGCGCCTAGAGGCAGACGATGACATTCTGTGAATACAACTTAAGCTCCACAGCGCCACCCAGTGCATTTAGCTATAACTGTGAGTTTTAGTTTGCATGCTTAGGATTTCACTGAATTTACAGCCAGCAAAGCAACATATGTAGCAAAATTCAAATAGTATTTTTATTATGGAAATAACAATTATAGATCGAATATTCAACTATTCATGCACACAGCCCTAATTTCCAAACAGATTACATTTTGGGAAATTATTGCAATGCAGTTTGTGCACAGGTACAAAACAGAGATTGGTCAAAATGAAACTAAAACCACCAATTCCTATTTACAGCCGGTCGAGCAGTGCATCTCTAGTCCTGGGTCAGACTCTGTTTTTTCTTTTATAAAAATTATGTGAGTTTGGGTA